TATAACATACGTAGCAGAAACTCTCACTCTTATAAAAACAACAGCACTAAAAATGCGAGTGGCACAAAGGAGCATGAGAAGATCGATTCTCTGTGGCAAGACAAACTAAATGGCAAAAAAAAAACAAACTAAGGAACCAAGACCTAAGGAAAATTACAGGTATAATTGATGTCGAGACTAAAAGATTCAATATGGACCAGAATACTAATTGTGTAATGTAAACATAGCAAGAAATAACGAAAAAAAATAAGGGGTAGTAGCCTAGAGAAAGTAATAATTATTTAAATAATTATTATATATTCCAAATTAAATAAAGAACAAATTCGAGACAGTTAACGTATACATTTTAAATTATACAAAGAATAACAATTTGACCTAGATTGACACAAGCCCGAATGTTTAAGAATTACGAAATCTGAAGACCTTCGTGGAAAATAATATAACGAAGCGACACGCCATCGCATGAACACGTGGAACAGACAGCAGAATCAGCAAAAAAACTAGGAATGTTCACGGGACATAAAAAACTAAAAAATTGGTCAATCGGTCAGTAGTAGCTCGGCACCCGCAGGTGCTGAATGCCAGAAGCGCAGGTGATCGGGACAATAATTACGCGGCACTGGCGAGTGCGCTATTGTATTTCGACGGGATAATAGTATCGTATAAGTGACAACGTTTTGGGTGTTTCGAAAATTCGTGATAGCGCGCGGTACCTCAACAAACTGAACCTGAATTCCAGTAGGACTGAAGGGCGTATTCATTAGCTAGGGCCTAAATACGCGAAGGTAACTAAATCTATATACTAACACAAGTAATATATAAAAACGTAGATTGTTCACCCTTTAATTTCTTGCTAAGGTCTCTTCTCGTCTCCCTTCGCGCCTGAACAAATCATTATTGGTTATAACTGATAGCTTGTTAACTTAATTGTAGTATACAATCTATTTAGTACATTTGTAGACTCGAAATTTGGTTTTATTGTTCCTTCCCGTCCGTTACAGGCAGAGACTAGAAGAGTACTCAATTTCAGCTTATACATTTCTCCGGCTTCTAAAGTAAGCCAATAACCGCTGACTCCTTACAGGGCCTGTTTCGGAGTATCCTTCAGCTCCTATCATGTTTTTCCCTACCCTCCTGAACTCGCGAGGGCAAACCAGCCAGTTCAGACTTGTGGGACCAGTAATCCCTGCCTCCGATCGCAGAGATAAGCATCCTTTAAAGTTTAAACCGAGGATATTACAGTGGTGACAGCAGTCTTAACTCCGCTAGTATTAAAATTGATTGGCGCTTAAGAGAAGACAAACGCAGAAGAGGATGACCACCAACACCTTTAATGGACGACATTAAACGAATATCCAAGAAATGGCAACAAGATGCACAGAACCGTGAACATTGGCGAAAGCTGAGAGAGACCTATGTCCAGCAGTGGACGAAAGAGGTTGCATGATGATGATGATGATGACATCAAATCTAATTAAATCTTTTGCATTATTTGCTCCCTGTTAGGCTATTTTATATTTCTTTGTTTCTATATAACTTTTTGATATCAAGTTGATCGTATATATTTGTATTCGCTTCTGCTTTAGCTTTTGCTACTGCTACTTTCGCTTCCGTTTTGACGACCATATAGTTTTAAAAATCTTGTGTTCGACTTCTTTTCTTGCCAATGTTTATATTATTTTATCTTCTCCTTGAACTTATGTTGAATTGTTTCTTGAACTTTGTCTGACCACCACCATGTCTCTTTATCCTCAAACTCCTTTATTATTGCTTTCAGTGGCAAGGATATCACACCACCGATGATAAATCACTAATATTACCAGGAGTATCTTGAATTTTGCAAACTGTATCCGAAACGCATTGCATTTTTTTGTGCAGAACTCCATTTTTAATAACTCTGAACTGTCCAATTTTACCCTAGGTATTTAGTTTTTTTTTATTAACACTTTACGGTGCAAATACAGCCCATTTTAAATCTTTTTGTGAACTTTGGGTCCCTTAATAAATTTATATACAATCAGAATACGCCCCGAAACCAATACGATGCTCTTACAAAACAACATTTTCCTGGAAAACATCTCCCGAACGATTAAGCAATTCCGTCGATGTCTGCTAAACTAAATACAAACAAATCGAATCTATACTCGACGAAAACAAATTGCGACAGACAAAAGTCAGAATGACTTGTTTTGGATGTTGTCGAATACAGCAGATATCCGCTCAAATCGAAAAAGAAAACAATAAGAAACGGCGAAAGGAATTAGAGGATATCTGGAGGCTGTTTATGAGTTTTTACGAGGACAGCAATTGACTTTTTATGATGGAAAAACTGCCGTTTGTTGCGGAATTGCTGGTTTGAGAGGAGGACGTCAGTATTTATTCGTCGCTTTTTATTACGAAAGAAATAAAAAAGTTTACATTAGTAATTGTTTGAAAATGATTAACGAGAATAAAAACACAATAAAGGAAAGTATAAAAATATATTTGTATACACAAAAAATTACCGATGATGAGAAAAATTTCTTCATTTCTTCTTCATTAGTTAGATTCTTCGCGATATACACTGGATAATGTTTTCTATGTGTAAATTAAGTGAACTATTTAATCTCTTATTAAAATGTTTTTTCTGTTTTATATTATGGTATAAAAGCGTGGACTCTAAAAGCAACATATTACAAACAAACTGGAATCATTCGAATTATGGGTCTACAGAAGAATATTTTGGGTGAATTGTGTCAGAAATGTCGAGGTGTTAAAATACTAAGAAAGAGAAGGCAAGGAAGATATATCTCGTGGCTGTCTAATTTGAGTGTAGTTTGAGTGTGGCTCCATTGAGCTATGTAGAGCAGTAACGTTTAAGATGCGTATTAATGATTGCCAATCTTTTTAGAGAAGATGGCACATGAAAAAGAAAAATCTCTTGATTACGAAACTAGTGGTTACTAGAATAGTCGGAGTTTCCAAGATGGCGTCCGATAGTCTAGTCAGTCAGTTTTAACAGAGGAACTAAATAAGCAAAAAATCAGGAACTAATTGTAAAACGAAATATTTTTCTTACCTCAGGGTAAGAACATAGGGGTAGAAGATTGGTGACCGAAACTACTGGGGGTAGGGATGGGGTAAACAAAATAATCGAAACTGATGCGTACGACACTCAGAGGGTTGTTGGAGAGCTGGGTCGTGGATAAGTTGAAATAAATGGGTCGGATTGGAGTATCAACAAAATGAAAAAAAAGGGATACTTATATAAATCTCCTGGAACAATTATGAACAAGATATGATAGACAAGGTTACCTCTAGCTATTTTTATTCTGACGCCGCTTCGAAGAAAACTTCCTGCTGGAAAAAAGAAAATTTCTTCTTCCCTAAAATCAAGAATACATACAAGGGTTGGGAGATTTTTCTAAATTAAAACAAAAAATGGATCAGAGAAACTAATCAAACGTTTATTTTTGTCTCAAACAAACAGTTATCAAAAATACAGATTGCACAAGAAGCATACTATAACATAATACAAAATTAATAAAAACTTACGTGCTGTTTACAAATGAGATTGTTACAAAAATTTTCGAAATGGTTCCTAGGTTATTTATTAATATGGCCAAAATAGAATATTATGATTAAGGATATCCTTGTTTATGAAAATATCTTAAAATTTAACCTTATTTATGAAATATCTTTTCTATATAATAATCAAATTAAAATTAACAAAAAGAGAAATCATACGATTTCTACATGGCGAAATCAAATTCAAATATAAGCCACCGTGCTTCCTAAAACTTGCGAAGCAAACAGCTTGATGAATAAATCGGCAAGGGAATCTAAAATTGCACTCCAAATGTCGTTCATCATGGCCAATATTGGTAGTGAATTCGATTTCTGGTACTCCAAACGAAGTAAAGAAATAAAAAAAAACACATTTGGTTGCTATACCGTACTGAGAAGACCTAAAGAGGTCAAAATACGTATATGCGACTTGTAGATGCTCTGTATCGAATCAAAATCTAATACCGTCATTGTGTTGTGAAGTGTAAAAAAGTTGATAGGCTACTTTATATATTTTGAAGACGTTTCGCTTTCGTATTCTGAAAGCATCATCAGTTCATCTAAAAAGTACAATATGAGAACCACACAATCATGGAGAAGATGTTATATGTGTTACCTTAAAAAGACATGTAGCAATATCATTGACTGCTATCACTGATTATCCCTGGAGACCACCTCGAAAACCAACCATTCACTTTAAGTAACTGGAACTAATTATCTCATCTCATCTATCCATCCATCCAAACTCTCACTATACACACCCATCTCACCACTTTCCAAATTCTCAACCAATCAGAAATTTGCATACCACTCCCCACATAAAATCAGAAATATCTACAAACTTTCCTAATTCATATTATTTCTACAAGGACACTTAATTTCTACTGGGTATTTACAGATTCCGAAAAACCACTTACTTATTAACTATTTTTATTGTCCTGTTCATGGCGCAAACCCGGATTACGGAACACTTTATGGCTTATGGGAAAAAAACCATCGTTAACTTCTATTCATTGTACCCGCACTATACACTTGTTATATTTATACAAAAGATTATTTATGACTATGATTACCTTTGGTTAATTCCAGGCAGTTCGGAGTATTTTTACTTTCTATAATCTCTGAAATATTTATTTCATTGTACATTTATTTTCTCTTTAATTTTGAATACCATAACAATATATATACATATATATATATATATATATATATATATATATATATATATATATATATATATAACGATTGATTCCTTCATTTAATTAGTTGCTTCACACGAACCACGTAACTAACCGAAGTTAGTTTCTATCTCAAACTTTAACAAAGATATGATCGCCTCCAAAGCCTGCCCGAGGCATCATCCCTGATAATTAAATAGTTTTGACAGGCCTGTTAGCCAGACACGCACGGCACAACGCCCGAACCCTTTTAATATAGAAAGTCAGTCTACTTACCGAGAGATAACCGGCTCTGGCTCCCAGACCGGTGAGGTCCTTTCCGGAGGCCCCGAGGCGGATCCAGTCCATGAGGGAATGTCCAGGTTGAAGGGAGCATTTGTTACGGGGATTGCCTGGAACAAAGTGGAAAAACGAGAGATTAACGATAGCAGTCGCCGATAAAAAGGTAATTTAGTTTTAAGAGAGAGAAATCGTCACGATGATCCTTTGGGGGGGATTTTAGGGAATCAAAGGAGAGACGATTGGTGTATATGAATAAGTGGACTGTATATTTTCTTATTTGGTCGAATTAAAACGCATTTACGCTTTCGTATAACGTTTATTTATTTGAATTTTACAATGTGAATTAGATATGTGTCTTCACACCACGGCGGTCGGTGAAGCTCTCTTCGCCTCTCGAATAGAAGCCGGGACCTCGGCACATCGGGTTGGAAAGCTGCGTTGCCGATGTTCGCAGTCTCTAACATGCCCCGGCCTTGAAAGGACTTCCTTTCAATCTTGAATTGGTAGTGGACAAATCTTTGGAAAAGCTCGACGAATGACACCATTTGCGGTTCGGATCGATGCCACTCGACAAATTCCATCTTTTCCAGGATGTAACTCCAGAACACGACCCAGTCTCCATTTTAACGGATTGATATTATCCTCCTTCACGAGTACCATGGAGCCTTGTGACAAAGTTCTCTGCGTCTTTTTCCATTTAACCCTCTGCTGTAATTCGGATATGTACTCCTTCGACCATCGTCGCCAGAAGTTCTGTCGCATTTGTTCCAGGAGTTGGAAACGAGAAAGTCGTCCAGTAGGTAACTCGGTGATGTCGGGTTCTGGTGTTGCGATTAACGGTTGGCCGATGAGAAAGTGAGCAGGAGTTAATGGATTTTCATCGTTAGGATCGGAAGAGAGTGGTGAGAGGGGTCGGGAATTTAAAATCGCCTCGATTTGTGCAAACACTGTTGATAATTCTTCGAATGTTAGAATATTATTCCCTACAACCCGCTTTAAATGATTTTTACTTGATTTAATTCCTGCCTCCCAGAGGCCACCGAAATGCGGAGAATGTGCTGGAATAAAGTGCCAATTTATATTTTCGGATGAGCACAACTCCGAAATTTTATTTTGATTTGAAATCAAGAACTTACTTAACGCTTGTAATTCGTGATTCGCGCCAACGAAATTAGTACCGTTGTCAGAATATATTTGTTGAGGTTTTCCGCGTCTGCTAATAAATCGTTTTAGTGCTAATAAAAAAGTATCTGTCGAAAGATCAGAAACTAGCTCAATATGAACTGCTTTGACAGCAAAACATACAAACAGCGCCATATAACATTTTGAAGTTTTACTGCCCCTACCGTATCGATTTTTAATAATAAAAGGTCCGCCATAATCTACCCCACAAACCTTGAATGGATAACCAGCATCAAATCGAGTTTTCGGCAAATTACCCATAATAGGATTTGTGTTCCTCGCATTAAATCTGAAGCAAGTCACACACTGTCTAACTGTTAATTTAGCAAGATTTCTTCCTGATACCGGCCAAATGGACTGACGTAAAGAACTGAGTAAAAGTTGTGGGCCGGCATGCATCAATTTTAGATGTTCTGATTTAAAAATTAATTTTGTTAACGGATGGTGTGCCGATACGATAATGGGATGTTTCTTGTCATACGAATAATCTGAATTTGTTAAACGACCACCAACTCTTAATAAACCTTCCTGATCGATAAAAGGATTAAGATTAAGAATTTTGCTTTTATTATTGATTTCTTGTTTATTTAATAAGCTGTTTATCTCTGCGGTAGTATGACTCGCTTTGTGACATTTTTAGCAGAAGCTTGTACGCCTTTCTTAATTCTTCAGTATTAAGAGGACTATTTGTTCGCTTAGAATTAGAATCTTTATTTGAGATAATTGAAATGAATCGTAGAACAAATGCTACTGTTCTAATTAGCTTGCTCAATGAAGAGAAGCGACGTATATCTACTACTGGTTCCAACGCACGTATTAAGAATGTATTTGAGGCACACTTTAGTTCAGGCAAGTTCTCTGAACACTTTACCCCTTGAGGCCAATCGCATTCGGATTTGCTTAACCAACTTGGACCAGACCACCACAAATTAGATACTTGCAACTCATATGGACTAATACCGCGCGACACTAAATCTGCGGGATTGTCCTTTGAGGAAACATGCCGCCAATCACAAGAACTAGTTAAAGTTTGTACTTCGGCAACTCTATTAGAGGTGAACGTTTTTAATCGGTGTGGTTCCGTTTTCAACCAACCTAGCACGATTGTGGAATCTGTCCATAAGGTAACGCTTTCAAATATTGTGTTGTTAAGTGCATCCTTAACAATTGTAAATAATTTGGCTAAAACAACAGCTGCGCATAACTCGAGTTTTGGAATCGTAATAGTTTTCAACGGACTTACTTTAGATTTTGCGCATAGAAGCCTAACCGAAACCTGATTATTTCGAGTAATAGAACGTAGGTAGATGCATGCTCCATACGCGTGTTCGGAAGCATCCGAGAAACCATGTAATTGAATTGATTGTGCATTTGGTAATATTACGTGACGTGGAATAATTAATGAATTAAGTTTGGGAATCTCGGATTTGATCTTAAGCCATTCACCATGTAACGGCTGAGGAACTGATTCATCCCAACTTAATCGCTCTAGCCAAAGCCTTTGAAGTATAATCTTCGTTTTAATAATACAAGGCGCTAAAAGGCCTAGTGGATCAAATATTTGACCCACAGCCGAAAGAATGATTCTTTTAGTTACACGACCGTCTATAGCATTTGGTTCAATTTTAAACGTCAAAGAATCAGAATCGCATGACCAACCGAGGCCTAATGTTTTTGTGTTTTGATCTTCACTGAATTGAACCGTCTTCTGTGAAGGTACATCGCCCTTTATTAGTTTAAGTATCGTATCGCTATTTGAGTGCCATTTTCGCAATTTAAAGCACCCTTCAGATAAAATTTTTGAAATACCCAAGCCTAAACTCACTGCTTCTTGAATAGAATCAGCACCCGTAATTAAATCGTCTACGTATATGTCGCTTTTAATTATTTGAGATAACTCTGGTCTATTTCTTTCACAATTTAGGGCTAGCTCCATGATACAACGAATTGCTAGAAAAGGCGCTGAAGCAGTACCATACGTAACCGTGTTTAATTCGTATATTTCTAATTCCTCGTTGGGATTACTACGCCAAAATATTCGTTGCAACGATCGCTCTTTCGGATTAATCATTACTTGCCTATACATTTTCTCGATGTCGGCTGTTATCACGAATGCATGAATTCGAAATCTTAAGAGTATTGACAAAAGACTACTTTGTATTGTTGGGCCTACCATTTGTAGGTCATTAAGTGATAAACCTGTGGATGTGGCAGCGGAAGCATCGAAGACAACGCGAAGCTTTGTAGTAACAGATTCCTCTCGAAGTACTCCATGGTGTGGCAAGTAATAGTAAATCGCATTTGTATTTAATTTATTTACTTTGGTCATATGACCTAACGCTTTGTATTCATTCATAAAATCAACATATTTTTCACGTAAATCTGAATTATGCTTAAGTTTTCGTTCTAATGATAAAAATCGCCTTCGCGCTTGTTCTTCCGAATCGCCTAATTCATCTGTACTCGTTTTAAACGGAATAGATACTACGAATCTACCCGTTTCTATATCGCGTTTCGTATTTTCAATAAAATGTTGTTCGCATGACGCTTCTTCTTCGGATATTGCCGGTTTTACACCGCATTCTTCTAATAACCAGAATTTCTCTAGTTGTTTTTGAATATCACCATTTAAAGACAGATTGCAGTGAGATACATTCGTATTTTCTGTAATGTTTCCAGAAATTATCCATCCAAAAGAAGTTTTTTGTAATACTGGCTGATCTGATCCTAGACGTATTTGTCCAATTTGCATCAGTTTCCAAAATAAATTTGCTCCAATTAGTAAGTCTATGGGACCTGGTTTGTAGAAATCTGGATCAGCAAGGATTATATTTTTTGGAATATTTAACCTATTGATATTAACAACAGTAGTTGGTTGGATTCCAGTAATTTCGTTTATAATAAGACATGATAATTTTACAGAATATGCACTATGTAGCGACTCCACAGAAATTTCGCATTTTTTGTTAATCTGGGATTTGCTACTATTAAGGCCTACCACGGCCATATTGATATTTTCTGTTTCGAGATTAAGTATATCGCATAAATTTGATGAAATAAAACTAGATTGGGAACCTGAATCTAGCAACGCGCGTACGGTGTGAGATTTATTGAATTTATCAATTACTTGTACCAAAGCTGTGGCAAGTAAAACGTTTTCCTGAGTAATATTTGAACAAGTTAGAGATACATTTGAGTTCTCCGTTGTATTATTTTCGCGTCTATTGTATTCGTTATTTTGTATATGTAATATCGTATTGTGTCTACCGTTACATTTTCTGCAGTTGCTTAGTCTGCAAACCGTATTTATGTGACCAGGTCGTAAACAATTTATACATAATCTAAGTCTTTTCGCATGCGTATTTCTTTCTGCTGGGGAAAGTTTAAGAAATTCTGCACAGTTTCGAATATAATGATTTTGTTTGCAGAAAGCACAAGTCATGTTATTTCCCGAACGATCAGCTGTATTATTGTTCCTTGAAGAAACATTTTCCGTATTGACAAACGATTGAGATATTCTGGATTGTTTTTTATGAAAAGAAGAGGTATTTCCTGAGGATGTATCGCGTTTAGATTCTATTGTTTCCAGCAAATCAGCCTTTGATTTTAAAAATGTTTTTAAATCTCGCACTGTCGGATATTGCATTTTCGATCTAAATTCTTCCCATTCTCGCGCTGTTTTATTATCCAACTTAGAAGTTACTACGTAAATTATTAAAGTATCCCAATGCTCGGTGGGTTGGTTTAATTGCTTTAATGCTTTTAAGTGTTTTGAAATAGAATCTATCAAAAACCGTAATATTTTTGAAGACTCACATGTTTTAATATCTAAATTAAATAATGCCTTTACATGATTATGAACAAGAAGTCTTTCATTATTATAGCGCTCACAAAGCAAATTCCACGCTACAATGTAATTTGCCTCGCTAAATTCAATTGATGCTATTACCTCGGACGCGCAAGCTGAAAGTGAAGATTTAAGATAATGAAACTTTTGAAAATTCCG